CAAGCTGGGTGAGGTCCACAGACCATGCAGCAGCCATGGTGAACCCAAACATGAACTCTGACCTAGGATGATGAGACATCAGCACAGGGCGGTGACCACGGACCGCCATGACCACGGACTGCCTGTGGGGGTACACTAGGTGAGTGAGGCTGCCTGCGAACCAAGGGTAGGTGGGAACTCTGAACTTTCCACTCAGTTTTGCTGTAAATCTAAAACTGCTCTAAAAAAATTAAGGGGAGGAGCAAAGAATGATAAAAGTATGTTTTTTACCCAATGCCTATTCACAGTTACTGTACACATTTATGGTATCTGGCTGTTTATTCCCTTTGACTGGAATATATTTAACTCTGCTGAAATGGGCCTTTCCATAACTGGAGGTATGAGTGCAGCTCTGAAGACAGAAAGCAGCTGTGATGTAGTACCGGGTGCGTCCACTGTGCACGCGGATCCAGAGACACAGCTCCATAGCAGATCACAGCAAAAACAGCACCAAGTGCCTCCACTATAGTGACAGGCAGAGTACAGAGTGGGTGGAGCATGCTTCAAGGAAGGAACAGAACATGGGCAGGAGTCTAAGGAGACAGGTCTGGCCTGCACTCACCCAATCCTTATTTATTTATTTTGAAGAAACTGTTTTTTTCAGTACTATGGGAATGTCTTGGTCAGGGTGTGAGCGATTTCTAGTCACCTGCCTGCTTCTTCCGCTTCCTCCTGCCCTGCATGACTGTGAACAAGTCATTTCATTTCTTTGCAAAACCTGTGCCCAGGTGTCACTGGAACCAGCAGGCAAAGGCACCTGGGCAGGGAGGCCACTCTGCYTGTGCAACCAGGGCACGCAGCCAGGTGCTGATCAGGGTGGAGAACCCTCAACATGCCAGGGAAGCTTTCAGGCAGCCTATAGTCTGTGCCTAGCAGAGGCTGCGGAACTGGCTTTGGCATTTCTCAATACCTGCCCAGTGACCATACAGAGCCCCAGCCAGAGACACAAAAAGCCACACCCACCCTGTTGTCTTTTGAAGATCACGCACGGGTGGGCCAGGCAGAGAGGGGATCAATTCACACATTCCACCTCCTGAAAAAGCAAGTCCAAAATACTGAGACAGCAACTCTCAAATTACCTTCTTTTTAATTTTAACCAAAATCTGAAAGAAAAAAGAAAAAAAAAGAAAAGGCCAAAGTGCCAAAGTAGATGAGAAGGGAGACCTCAGGAGCCGCAGGTCCTGCAGCTGCCTGCTCTCCCAAGCAGGGGCTTGAGACAACTACCATACTATGTAACTTGTTATAATAAATCTGTTTACTTGACCAAATATCTAGGCTGTGCAGGACTCAGGCCCACAGGCCCTCCAGAACCTGGACCCTCAAAAGCGGGCAAGGCAGGCCCTGGGCAGGCAGCCCCTGAGCACGGCCTGCTGACAGATACTCCACCCCTGCGACACCTACAGGTCCTCCCGCTGTGGACTAGGAAAGCCACCAGGCCTTAAAGGGCCTAGGACAGTGCAAGAGATGTCTGGGAGCCCAGGAGACCAAGACTCAGCCTCAGAAAAGGAGGCTAAAGCCATGAGGCGTGAGAGAGTGGCCAGCAAAGCCCTAGGGAGAGGGCTGCAGCAGGAGAGGGATGTGGGTCCAAGGATAGCAGCATCATGCTCAGCTGCTGAGGAAAGGCAGAGCTAACTAGTCCTAGGGTCTTAAAACTCAGGTATGGCCAGGAGCAACACTGCAGGTCTGAATCCCAGCACTCAGGAGGCTGAGGCAGGAAGAAAACAAGTTCAAGTCCTACCTTGATAATTTAGACCTTGTCCCAAAATAAAGTAAAAAGGAGTGGTGATATAGCTCAGTGGTAGAGCACCCTGGGTTCAGTCCACAGTCCTGGGGGTAGGGCACTCCCCATGCAAAACCCAGATCAGGGTTCTGAGGATGGGTACGAGGAAACGCCACTCCTGCCTAGCCCCACCTGCTTCATGGAGAGGTAGATGCAGCATGCAGATCCACACAAAGGAGCTGCCCGGGCTCAGGCCTCCTGGTCATCTGCTGGCCTATTGTAGCCAAGAGGGCGGCACTGGGTGAGCAACTCTGCAGCCTCCCACACCTACTCAGATCCTGCTGGATGGATGGCACGGAGTTTGGGGGTGGGGACAGGAAGCAGAAGGCAACACAAACCCAAGAGTTCAATTTTCTATCGATAACAGGAAGCAGGAGAAGCATGCAGGGTGTTCCCTAAACCCTTGAAAAGCAAGAACCTTTCCTCTCCCCAGGTCAGCCATTCCCAGCACTCACAGCCATCAGGAGTGCRGACAAGCCAGACCTTGAAGAGCCTCCACCTGCAGTCAGGCTTTGCCTTTCTCACTGAGATCCTCCACCAGGAGGGAGCACGCTGTGTGCGCCTGCTCCAAGCCAGGCCGACTCCAGGGGGCCAAGGGCCCGCAGAAGGCAGTACCTGCTGCTGACTGTGGTGAGGACCTGGGTCCCAGATGTGGGGGCCCCTCCTTTGTGTTGAGCTTTCCTCCAGCACCAGCCCGAGATTTATCACACGGGAGGGCCTGAGGCCTCAGGGAGGCAGGAAGGCTGGCAGCCCTGGGCAACATTCCACTCTGTAGACATTTACTGAGGTTATGAGCCAGATTTTTAAAGGAGCTGGTAAAGACTAAGCTAAGATGCCACTACTTCCTAAATACAATAGGACGTGAGGAATACTTGCTCAATTGATTCCCAAGGAAGAATGTAAAACCTGGCAAGTTCCTCAAGGCCTCAACAACAAGGATAGCCACCTTCTTCTCTGCAAGGGGCCAGATTAAGTCATCAGAGCATGGGGACCTGAGCCAGCCCAAGTTTTCCACCTCACCAGGCATGGAAACAAACACACACACATAACATGCTGCACCTGCACAAGGCAACTTCAGTGCATGAACTGAGCCCCTGATCACACTCAGAGCCACTGAGATCTGTGGTCACCATCATGTAATCAAACTTCTATTTATTCCAGCAACACATACAAATAACTAGATGATGGTCATTATGTCTGCATTCTCTGACTTAGGATATTGCTATGTGGGACACAAAAATGTCACTGGCAATGAGTGAGTATTCAAAGAAGTAAGCAGCACCCTTCAGGGCAGCTGACAGGGCAYGGGGGCCCCTGTGAACACAGGAGAAGACAGGTCAAATGGGAAGGGACGGCCCTACTCAAGCTAGTCCTTTGCTCAAACCTGGGGCCGCCAAGCTGGGGGTCATCTCCCATTCTGTCCTATCCATCATCCCTTATACCCAGAAGCTTGCCCTCCTCCACAAGTGATCTCCTGTGAGCAACAACAAGAATGCAAACTCCACTTCAGTGCCAACCCCTTGCCTCATCTGATGGCATTTAAACCACCCAGCCACCCTGGCAATGTTTCTGCAGACCCCTCCTAAAACCAAGGCTCTGCCTGCCACAGCCACCTGTGCTGAGGTTGTCAGAGGTAATCCAGGGCATGGACAAACTCTCAGCATGTGTGAGAGGCTGAGATTCAATTCTGAAAGACAGGGCTGGTGGCTCTTGGAAGCTCCCAGGCTGTCACAACAGTTCCCTTGCTTTTATGTCACACTGGGTCTGCAGGTCCAGAAAGAGATCAGTCTAGCTACAGATAGGAACCCAGAGTAGAACTTCAGCCTAGTGGAAGGCTGTCCCTGCCAGCGACCCTGAGCTGCAACGTGGCCTGGCTTTTTGATGACAAGCAGTCATGCCACTGCTCTCAGCTGGACAAACCCAAGACCAGGTCTAGGGCCAGCCACTCTTCAACATCTGCAAGGAATTACAGGCTTAYTGCCCTCAGGTTTATTTACTTATGCCTTCCAAGGGCCGCCTGGCACCCAAACCTACACATCTACAGAAGTGCACATCTTCCCCCTGGGCTGTTTCAGCTCTGGAAGACATTTTAAAACCTATATTTTTCTCTCCCCAGCTTACCACGCCCTTGTTTTTCCTGGCAAGCCTTCGAGTTGAAAGTCCAAGGGGGGAATTTTCTATTAATTCCATGAGAATCGAGGCGCTGCTGGCAACACAGTCCTATACTTCACACTTCTGACCTGACGTCAGAGTGAGTTTATGGCCACAAACATTCTGCTTTAGCGAACATTTCCACATACCTAAGCCTGAAAGTGTGCTCTAAGCCTCATTCTGAACTTGAGTCCCTTCACAGTCCCCAACTTCCCGGGAAAACCTCCCCTGGCCCCTCCCCTCAGCAGCCTAAGCAGCAGCCTCAGCGGAGTGGACCCCACGGCTGCTCCTTCTCAATTCGCCCCTCCAAGCAGAAGTCAGGCCAACCGCCACGGCGAGGTCCCAGGGCACGGAAGGCTTCTGGGACACTCACTCCCAAGGGCACCAGGCTTCCCAGCGCACAGACTCCGGACCTCCCGACCCGTCCTCCCTGCGCAAAGCAGGGGTCGATCTGCGGCTGGGCCTGCCCTCCCCTCCGAAGGGGCGAGGCTGTGGAGCGTATCTAAACTCTTTTTCTTCCAGGGTCTTTCCATAGAAAAACAGGGTCGCACACGGCGCATCGTGCCCCCCAGTCGCACCTCGGGACGGTGGGCTCGGGACCGTGGGCCCCTGTCTTGGAAGGCGCCTCCTCCTCCCGGAGACCCGCCTCTCAAGCCTCATTCCCCACGGAGCTCGCGGCCGGGCACAAATGCTAACAGACACCGCGAGCCGAGTGCCTCGCGGGTGGGCGCCATACCCGTTTCACTCGAGGAAACTGAGGCTCTAAGACTCTCTCTGGGCCACACAGCTGCCAAGGGACAGAGCTGGGTCAGAACCCAGGTCAGCCGGCCTTAGAATTCCCGCTGTCGCCACTTTGGTCCGCTTTGCTCAGTGGGTGGCTTTTAAAGCCCCCTTCCCTTCTCCCCGAGGCGCCCCCAGCCCCGGCGCCGCCCACGTCCCTCGCGCGGGGCGGGTGTCTTGGAGCCCCCGTCCCCGCTGGGCCCCTCTCGCCGCCCACTCCCCTTCGCGCGGGGCGTGTCCGGCGCCCCACCTCGTCGCCGAAGCGCACCACCTTCTGGCCCGTGGGCCCGCGCAGGCCGGGGAAGCGCACGGGGTCTTCGGGGTCGCCGGAGTACCCCGGGTCGGCGGGCGCCGAGGCGCGCGGCCCCACCAGGCAGCGGTCGATGATCGCGTCCTGCTGCGCGGGCGGCAGCCGCGCCCACTCGGGCCCGTACTTCTCGCGGATCTTCTCCTTGTCCTGCATGATCTTCCTGGCCATGGGGCTCAGCGACGAGAAGTAGGTGAAGCGTTTCCGCTCCCGTTCGTCCAGCGGCCGGTTCCCGCTCATGACCGCGGAGCGCGAGGCCGCGATCGCAGCCGCCATGGACGCCATGCCCGGCCCGCCGCGCCGCGCCCCGCCCGGAGCGCCGCCCAGCGCCCGCCGCCCCCGGCCCGCCGGAGCACCGCCCCCCGGACTCGCGCTGGGTCCCCGCCCCACCGGAGCACCGCCCCCTGAGCCCGCTCGGGGACCCTCCCCGCCCGGAGCACCGCCCCCTGAACCCGCGCTGAGTCCCCGCCCTGTCCGGAGCGCCGCCTCCTGGGCCAGCACTCGGTCTCCGCCMGGAGCGCGGCCCCACCCCGGCCCTCCAGACCCGCCCTCCTCCACGGGTGCCGCCGGCACCCCGGTCTGGCCGGTGTGGGACGCCGCCCTTCGCTGTCCCGCGACGCCCGCGTTTTCCCGAGCCGGCTTTGGCAGGGCCGGCGTAAATCCGAGCCTGTGCCCGGCGGTGGGCAGGCTGCTCCTTACTTTCCAGCGGTCGCCATGGCGCCACGTGGTCGCCGCTGACAAAGGAAACTTCTTGATGTCCCTGGCGAGACTGGGCCCCGGGCCCCGAGGCAGCCGAAGGGCCACCTGGCAGGCGCAGCCCTAAGGAAAGTGGAGTGGGCTCWGCTAACGGCTTGGAGAGTAAAGGAAGCGCAGGAGGCCAGACCTTTCCACTCTCTGAGCTGAACTGCCGAGTCCGCCAGCACAATGCCTGACTCTTGGACCAGTGCCCCACACGTGAACCACAGGGGCTTTCCCCACACTGGCTTAGCCCTTGCCTTCTCTGACTCTTGTCATTCCAAAGCAAGCTCCCAGTTGTTCATTAATGAATTTCAAAAGTGCATCTTAAAACATTACCAATGTTATGAAACAGGGATTAAAGTGGGAAAATAAGTGGATCAGTGTACTGAGGGTATAGAGCATCAATTTAAATGGAGAATAACACCACCAAAAAAAAAAAGAAAATCCCAGACATAAATGGCAAGTCTGTTTCCGCGATCTCAGAAATCACAGATCCCGTGCAGCTCACTGTTTGCAAACAAGAGGGAGGAAACGTTTTCATACTGAGAAGCAACATCCCCACAGGGGACTGGCTTGTCATTCTGTAATATCTTCCTTGCAGACCAAAAAATTTAAATTACACAACACCACTCCACCCACCCACCAAGTCTGCCTGACCTGGCTGATTTTAGCAAGACTTAAAARTCTCAGGTGAGAAATGAGTGTCCTTAAAAGAACTCCATGTCAGCCCATGCCTAGGGACTTTGCCTCTGAAGTAGCACTTGGAAAATTCCAAACATGAGGGACTGTGTTTGTAGCTCAGAGGTAGAGTGTTTGCCTAGCAGGTGTAAGGCACTGGGTTCAATCCTCAGCACTGCAAATAAATAAATAATAAAGTAAAATAAAGGTATTGTGTCCATCTACAATTAAAAAAAAAATCCAAACGTGAATGCAAAGTTCTGTTCCAAAYATGAGACACCTCATCTTCTCACCAGAATCCTAAGAATTTTTTTGAAATGTCACAAAGGTGGCAGGATGGCAATAAAAGATATTTTTATCAAGAATATTACCAGCGTAATATGTAGAAGCAATGGGAAAAGCAAGCGCCCCAGGTGACAGCCGAATGGCCTGTATGTACAGGCTTATTTACAAAGCAATAAGCCTGCAAGCCTACTTTGTGGTATTATTATTCTTATTTGAGTTGAAGCTACATAAGCAGAGTTGACTGACAGGATCTGCTGATTTATCCCTCTAATCCCTGTTTACTAAGGCAAGGGGTGCTTAAAAATGTACTCATGAAATTTAATTAACATCTGGCCCCTGCTCTGAGAGTCACATTAGAGGGCGATTGGACCTTAGAGATTTATGTCCTTGGGTCCATTCACTTGAAATACCATCAGCATACCAAGAGGACGTGAAGACTTGCCGTGCTGATGGAGAAGTGATGGTCTTCGTGCCAGGAGGTGAGGAGGAGCAGCTCCTGCCCTCCAGTGAGAGAAAGCCACTACYAGTGCCTCGACCAGCCCTCAACGGTCAGTTTTGAGATGAGTAATTATGTACACTTGCCATGGCAGCCACTCGGGAGCCTGAGGCAGGAGGATCTTAAGTTTGAGGTCAGTCTGGGCAACTTAGCAAGACCCCGTCTCAAAAAAAAAGGACTGGGGGTGTAGCTCAGTGGTAGAGCACCTCTAGATTCAATCTCCAGTACCATGAAAGAAAGAGAAAGAGAGAGGGGGGAGGGTAGAGAGAGAGAGGTAGCCGAGCCATATGCTCTTCCCTTAGCTGTCCATCACCTCTCCCACACTCCAGGTCCTGCCACTGGGGCCACTAGGGGCTGATGGCCTCCCACCTGGTGCTTCCTTACATTCCCACTTCCCTCCAGTCTCCTCCTCCACACACCTGGCTGGGGGTCTTCCTCTTRCCATCACTTGAGGCCTCAGCCGTCTTTGGCCTCGGCTGGCCCTCACCTGTCCCTCATCTCATCTAGACTTCAGTTCACCCAAGGGCAGGCCCTGCCTTTGTGTGGCTCTCCTGAGCCCATGTGGCTGGGCTCTCCAAGTCCTGTCCACCTGTTCCGGCTCATTRGTGTGACCAGGAATGTCCTTCCTTAGCCCAGGAAGGCTGAGAGAGGCAGTGGGCCCTCTGGGGCTGCCTGGGACTTAGCTGAAGGCCCCTCTGTAGGCACAGGAGCTGGCCAGCCCTGGACACTGGAGTTCTGGAAGGGCCAGGAGGTTGCTCCCTGGGACAGACCAAAGCTGCTTGCTCTCCTTCTGCCCGGGCTCCTCCCTGCACCCTCAGAGGCTCTGAGGCTGTGTGGATGAAGAGCCTTGCTGTCCTTCTGTCATTTGGGCCTGTCAGGGCTTGGCCTTTTTCTTCTCTCCCAAGCCTGGACTGTTCTTTTCCTTGGCACCGCTTGCATCCCGCAATCTCTGCCCTCCCTCTGCCCCGCTGAGCCAAGGTCACCTCAGCACCCTGAGGTGAGACTCCACCCTGAGCACCTTCCTTCGGGACAGTGGGCTGTGGCGGTCTGTCCCCACAGGAAGTTCTTCCCTCAGACCTGAGTTGTTTCTGCTTCCCCCTCCATTCCTTCTGTGTTTCCTTGCTCTCCCCCAAGACCCAATGCCCAGCCTTCCTTTCTACAACTCCTGGGCCTCTGGACCACTTGCAGCCTTCCCTCTCCAGGGCTCCACAGAGAGGACACACCCTGCCATGGCCACGAGCCACACTGAGCATGGAGGTCTAGAGAGCAGAGTGCCACTCCAAAAACTAAATTCTCTGCCTCATAAAGGAGTGCTTGGGGTTCACTTGTAGCTCAAGGATTTCTGAGAGCAGGAGGCTGTGTGGGGCGGGTGGAAGGCTGGTCACAGGAGAAGGTCACGCTCCAACAGTGATGGTGCTCTGGGGCCCACSGCGTATGCGTGAAGCCCTTGCTACTTTCCTCTGCACTCAGGAACTGGACTGCAGGCCCTGTTGGTCACCTCACCTGTGCAGCCCAGCAAGGGGAGGGCTAGAGRACAGTATAGTGGGTCTCATGCACCCAAGGGAGCAAACTCTCATGATACACGTTACACCCTCTTATTTTGAAAACTGCACCCGCAGAATTTCCTGAGGGCCAGACTTGAACTTAGACGTTTCAGAATCCTGGGTTCCACCTGTCCTGGGGTGCAGAGACAGGCCCCCAACCCCTCCCTGGCACAGATGTCACACAGCAGCACTTGGAAATGGGTTACGTGCAGGACAATGATAGMGGGGTTTATGCTCAGATCACTGGGAGCGTGGTGGAGTGAAGAGTGGAGGTTAGAGTCTACAGGGAGAGGGGTTTCTGAGGAGTATGACAGGGCTGGAGTTTGAGGGAGGAGCACGGGGACAGAGGGGAGCTGCCAGCTGGGAACATGAGGTCCACACCAGGAGGTACACAGAGATGCTGGTGAGAACAGGCAGGGTCCGTGCGAGCATGGCACACAGGAACCCGGGGCAGAGTGTGGGCCCAGTCAAGGTGGCACAGTGCAAAGCATACCTTTGCTTCACCTATCCTTGCTACTGAGGCAGAATCGTTTTCGTAAGTCTAATCAGTTCATTCCCATGCTTCAGAATCTGCCCACAGAAGGTGAGATCCACATTCCCAGRTCTGACCACAAGACACTCTTGCAGCAGGCTCCCTGGAGGCCTGGCTCCCTCCCAGGGCCCTCCCTTTCCTGTGAGATCCTGGGACCCCTCACCACATCCACTGTTAGGTTTGTTATTCCTAAACTGCATACAATCTGCACTAAATACGTGCAGTCAGCTTTTAAAGATGTTTTGGAACCTGTTTTCTGCAACACCTCCAGGCTGGGACCTTCCCGAGGTCTTTTTTTTTTTTTTAAAGAGAGAGAGAGAGAGAGAGAGAGAGAGAGAGAATTTTTTTTTAATATTTATTTTTTAGTTCTTGGCGGACACAATATCTTTGTTTGTATGTGGTGCTGCCAGGCAAGCGCGCTACCACTTGAGCCACATCCCCAGCCCCCTTCCCGAGGTCTTGGCTTTGCAGGTACCATCAACTAGAAAACAACAAAACCTAAAGAAAAAACACTAAAATGCGTCCTCCAAAGTACTAAAAAGACTACTAACTCTTTTTAGGAAATTGTAGTGCATTTATTTGTATATACCAACATTAGAAATGATTTCTGATTCAGAATATAAATTAGGAGATTTTTTTACATTCCTGACTCAGTTAACTTTTTTTTTTTCCCCAGTGCTGGGGCTCAAACCCAGGACCTCTTGTTTGCTAGGCAAGCACTCTACCCCTGAGCCACATTCCCAGACCCTTGTTGCTTAAATTTTAAAAATAACCATCTAAAAATAATAACTATCAAAAATTTGGAAAATAGAGTAAACACAATATACAACTATGTGAACATTCTATTTTTTACACTCTGGTCTTTCAGTAAGTGTGTGTCCTGTGCTGCTCCTTGCCCATGCGTTGRAAAGACCCTGAGAGATGGAGGAAGTCTGTTGTACCTAAGCACTCTTTGTGCAGAATGCTGTCTCTTCTCCGCTTTGTAATGTGCTTCACAGGTTCCAGGTCACAAGGCGGAGCAGGATGCGTACTCTGCCTCCCAC